CCCCCCCCACGCACACACACACACCAACACCACACGCGACACAAATTCATTTGTGAGTGCATGGACACATTGATTGCTATCGGCACATACCTCCCCTTCATGATGGTCGTGACCTCCTCGGGCAGCGATGCGCGCGGCAGGTAATCAGGGACGATATACCTTCGCCCATACCCACACAGCTTGGATGTGTACACACACATGGGCGAGTATGGTGTTTGTGGTGCCATACGTACTTGACGCCACACAGGGGGTGTTTGTGCTCGCGCAGCCGAAAGAAGTACTGCGACGAAGGCTGGTCCGACAGCACGTACGCGAAGCTGACAACGGACACACGGACACAGACACACACAGATGGATGGATGGATGGATGGATGGATCCACGCACACATGAATCGAATGGCCGGTCAGCTCACTTGGCGATGTTGAAGACGGCCTTGAAGCCCTGGCCCTTCTCGCCAACGAACTTGCCGCTCCCCTCCTACACACATCGATGGACAATCCACACACCACCCATATATACCCATCGTGTACACATTCGTGGCCCGCGTCATGTGTGTCGTGCGTGGAGGTACGTAGGTACCCTTTTGGTGGACTCGCCGATGAAGCAGATGGACTCGACATCTTGCCAGCGGAAACCACGCTCGTTGTAGCACTGCATCCATCCATCCATCCATCCATCCATGAGTTGAAGCCATGACGAATGTATGCATGTGCAACACCACACGCGACACAAATTCATTTGTGAGTGCATGGACACATTGATTGCTATCGGCACATACCTCCCCTTCATGATGGTCGTGACCTCCTCGGGCAGCGATGCGCGCGGCAGGTAATCAGGGACGATATACCTTCGCCCATACCCACACAGCTTGGATGTGTACACACACATGGGCGAGTATGGTGTTTGTGGTGCCATACGTACTTGACGCCACACAGGGGGTGTTTGTGCTCGCGCAGCCGAAAGAAGTACTGCGACGAAGGCTGGTCCGACAGCACGTACGCGAAGCTGACAACGGACACACGGACACAGACACACACAGATGGATGGATGGATGGATGGATGGATCCACGCACACATGAATCGAATGGCCGGTCAGCTCACTTGGCGATGTTGAAGACGGCCTTGAAGCCCTGGCCCTTCTCGCCAACGAACTTGCCGCTCCCCTCCTACACACATCGATGGACAATCCACACACCACCCATATATACCCATCGTGTACACATTCGTGGCCCGCGTCATGTGTGTCGTGCGTGGAGGTACGTAGGTACCCTTTTGGTGGACTCGCCGATGAAGCAGATGGACTCGACATCTTGCCAGCGGAAACCACGCTCGTTGTAGCACTGCATCCATCCATCCATCCATCCATCCATGAGTTGAAGCCATGACGAATGTATG